GACTCTTTAGAAACTGAATTTTTTTCTATAAATAGAGGTGTTTTGATCCTTTAGTTCCACATCTCATCTCAAATCTTTGTTCTACTGATAACATATATCGCCGTCGATGGAGAAAAGTCGTCTATTTGAGAGAGAAGCCTCCGATGGACATGCTGTTTTGAAACATACAAAGTTTCAATCAACTTAAGAGGGAGCTGAATCAGTGGTTAGAATGAGACATTGGTGAAGGGGAAAAATCCGGAGTATCGAGAGACTTGATCGACTGCGTGGATGGATTCGTGTTAAGACCGACAAAGATGCGAGTGAAGTCATGTTTAGACCGAGTGAAATTAGTTTGATTGTTGTAATCAGTTAGGAATATTGTAATCACCTAGTTAATGTTTTATGTTTTATGAAATTAGTATGTGTTGTGTGTTGTTAGTGTTGTTTGTTGTTAACATTCTTGTAACAAAGACTCATCAATATATGAAAATATTTGGTTACAACAAATGAAACGATAAGCTAAATCATGATGCAGATGTTCCTCCGACATTGGGACAATTTTTTCAGTTGTGTCCGGGCTAACGACATATACTGCAGAATCTTATCATTTTATCAGCGATATCCATTTCGGTTCTTATACGCTTGATGTTTGTGCGTCCCTTTTTCTTTCTTCTCATCTCATCATTGTGCCAAACTATGTCACCTTGGTATGGAGGCCAATAATCCTCCATTGGTAGCACTGCGAAGTCTTCATTGTATATGTTCATAACATTAATCACCTTGTAAACATCAGATAAATAGTCATAAGCATCTTGACAAGCATGTGTGCATGCCGCAATGACATGTGAGCAAGGTACACGGAAGGCCTGGTACTTGGCACAACCACACCAACATTTGTTTAGTCTGACAACATAGGATACATTGGGTCTACCCTCATTATGGTCCATTGTTTCGTGTACACTGAATGTTTGCCTATGACGGTCAAAAACTGTAACTGCATGTGTGTTGGCTCTGATAGTATCCTCTTTCATCAATTTCATTATACTTTCACGGAATACTTGACCGACGTTAACACTGCACTTCATCTTTCGCCTCTTGTTGCGAAAAATGATGCCAACCTATAATAGGTTTATCTCACCAAAGCGGTGATTGAAAGGTTTCTAATTCCTTTTAATTCCTCGTTCATGGACTTCACAAGGTTTGTCGTCATGTGGCCCCAACGACATCCACCATCAAAAGCCTTTGTCTATTTTTCGAGTGGAATATTATCCAACCAGCTTCTTGCATATGCATTTGACATCCTAATTTCGTTAAGGTAGTATTGAAATGTTGGTTGAGTTAGAGCATACCCGACATTCACAACTTTTTTGTGAAGGTTCTTGTCTTTGATTGCACGCATGGAGTTTTGTGCAATATATCTAATGCAATATACATGGGTAGAAGGAGGATTATGCCACCCGTTATCATGGTTATTGCAGGCACTCTCTATAGCAGCATGCTTGTCTGAAATCAAACAGAGGTTGGCTTATGGAGCTACATGTGTTCTGAGATTCTTAAGAAAGAAACTCCGAGCAGAAGCGGTCTCACCCTCAACCAGAGCAGAAACTATGGGAAAGACATTATTATTACCGTCTTGTGCAACACCTACATGAAGTCAGAGAGGAAGATGTTGTCGTTTGGACTACATGCGCCCCGATCATCAGATTCACAACTATGGAGATGCACAACAGTTACAATGTCAAACTACAATTTGGAATGCATCAAAACATCCCAGATCCTCCTGTTGACATCAGTAAATGGCATCTAAAAAGAGTTAATGATCAATGGGACTTTCCCGACTGGAAGGATTTTGCAAAATCTGAACGTCGTAAATGGATGAAACGCAATGCCCATGTCTTACGTGACCCGGTGATGGCAACACCGTTTATACCAACTATTAATTACATGGCTTGGTACATATCGATTACAACTGGGCTTGTCTCCAAAGACATGTATTTATACGACCCACGCCAAATCACCTACACTAAGAAGCTTCAACGTCTAATCCACCAGGAAGGCCATGTTACTCACAACCCCCTACCGAACAAAATTAGCAACCCATTAACCATCCAAACATGCTAAGCTTCCAACCACAATACCAATAACGTCCCTGTCGCGGTGAAATTTGGATACCAAACTATTGATTAGTTTGAATCTTATATTCATTTTGCAACCGCGACAGAAATGGCGACTTCACTGGGGAAAGATCAGTGGGGTTTCCCCTATCTTGTTTCTACTTGTTTATTGCTTTATATTTGTTATTTGTATAATTGTTTACTTGTTTGCTTATTGTCTTTGGGTTGATACCTTTGAGTGGTGAGACAAAGTCCTACACCCGGACTTGAGTGAAATTAAGATAGGATGGTGATATGTTCAAAGAGGCTTATAGGGGGTGGAATCCCGACCAAGCTGACTTGAAAATCACGCTCAACTGAGGCCCTCTCGAAAGATGTATTGTTGAACGAGTCCTTAATCGTGAAAATATGCACTATATTCGATGTTGGAGCCTATGATATTGAGGACCGTAGTTACCTTAACCCCACTTTGACCTTTATTAGGATTTAGTGCGGGGCTATGAGGGGGTACCCCCGAAATAGTGCTACGCGATGCTACACTCGAAAGAAGTTCTCTTGAGGATATTATTAACCCCCGAGTACTTGGGAAGTTGATAATATTCGAAAGATGGGCTAATGACTTTGGGAACCTCGTTAGAACCTTGTTCTGCAGGTACAATCAACCTTTAGTCCAAATCCTTTGGGAATGGGTATACCTTTGGCTCCATGCTCGTTGCAAACCTAGGGTCCCCTTTGTTTGTTTATCCTTATGTTTCTATGTGCTTACCTGTGTTTGTTGCATCCATATAGCATCATATTGCATTGGTTTCATGGAACCCCGAGTTTATTTATAAACATTATAGAACCAATAGGGATTACAAAAGAAAACATTTTGAAATATTCTTTTAAGAGTCCTAACTCGGATGGCCTAAGGAAGTAGGAGCTCAGAGGACAAATACGAGAGGCTTCCCTTATCATGGAGGATCATTAGAAGTTCAAAGGACTCTCATTATCATTGAAGATCAAAGTTGCCATGCTGTTGCAGATTGAGGTTGAGCAAAAGCGGGATAACATCAGCGGAGTGGCCCCGGAGGTTGACAACAGGTAAACTGGTTATGACACACTTTGCGTATCAGAATACTGTATACTTGGACCTTTTGCAGCAAAAGTACTGAGTTTGTACTGAATGACCGATGTTGCGGTTTCGTTCTCTGATTAAGCGACTCTTTGATCTGCAGGTTTTCGTTTTCTCCATTCGATAGTGAGTCAGCGTTAACTTCTTCAACAATCTCGTCTTGTTGAAAAATAGTTACAGGATTTGCTTCTTCAGCGAGTGAAGACTTTGTTTTTAGACATGAAAAGACTTGCTCATCCATTGTAGCACCATTTTTCATTAAGTGATGCTTCAAGATCAAACCCACTACTTTGTTGTAGAAGATTGTTGGTGCAATTTGTCTACTTCCACAACTGGTTTACGCAAGGCATATGATAGAAACTGAAGCTGCGATATGGATTACCAATAGGGATCTTTTGGTGTGAGTGTTTTGCTAGTAATGGTTTCGTGGCTTGTCAGGTAGAAGGACCAGCTTGGCATGTGTTCTTGTAGTGAATTAATATGTATGAATGTTATTTATTCCACTCTTTTGTGCGGATGATCCATCGCATGTTTCTGTTATGTAATAGCCAATTAAATAAAATTGTGGAAAGTTCTCAATGATTAATCTTTGGATAATGTCCATTCATGCTACATTATCCTTCTTTTCTCAGTAGATTTCTCGTCTATGATAATTTGGGACAAACTCTAGGGCCAATAATTATCCTGAAAGATCAAAGGGACAAAAGTTATTTCCATGTAGAATCAATAATATCGGTCAATGATGTGTTAGGGTCTTGACATATTCTTTTTGTGAAATTTCCTCAAAAGATTCGAAGTTGTTTGAAGGAGACCCAAATTGGAATTAAATAATCAACGGTGGTATTGGAACGTATTCTTTTGAAATTCGACTTGCAAATCCAGAATTTCGAATTCACCCTTAGTATTTCGAAATGTGAGCTTTTAACTTGAGATTTGTAGATGAATTCAGTGATATTATGCTTTGAATTTTGTACATCCCCTATTGTAAAGCTGGTGAGATTCCTGGACAATTAACCTTGTAATGATCTCAACTTGTGGAGTTCAAAACTCAATGCCACGTCACTTACACCTCTTGCGGTATTTATATGCTGAATTTGAAAGCATAAGCATCGTCATCTGACTTGGACCACTCTTGGAAACAAAGTGATCAATTCCATTCTAAAACTTCTTGCTAAGAGTGATAACCCCACTTTATGAACAACAACAACCCTGATTGACATGTATAATCTGGCAGCTTGACAGTTTCTTGGACTTGTAAATTTAAACTCTTCATTAGAACGAATTCCACGTAAAACGAGTTAAACTTTCCCATCGCAAACCAAATACCGTTTGATTAGATTGCATCTGCTGGAATTTAAACACATATGAGTGATCCTCAAGTTGAATCCACATTATCTTGCACCTATCAGAGAAGTCTTAAAAGCCAAAATGATCCTGCACACACTCGTTAGTCCTGATAAATACGCATACAAGATAAAGTGACAAATTGCAGGAAAACGCACAAGGAGGTGAAATCTTAAGGTCAAAAATTAGGGTGTGACAGTCCCCCATACCATCTCCAACACAGTACCTACTATCCAGAAACCCAATATGGCTATGGCCCCAACACAACATCAAGATATAGCCATAATGAGGATACATCATACCATAGCCATAACGCTCAAACGTCTTTCCATAGTCAAAATGCTCTGACATCATACCCTAGCCTACACAATCAACCATCTCAACAACCTTATGACTTTCAAACACCACTACCATTTCAACCTTTCACCAACGAATCCTTCACACTAATGTCCCCCTTCAACTGTCCAGGCCGCATGCCAATGACCTCTTCATCATATCCAAACTACTCTGGCATGGGTCGCACGCTCAGTTTCAACACACAAGACCTCATGAAAATGCAAGATATTCTTAGGGAACCATCTGAGAATGTTCCTAAGACTTCAACTCCTCAAACACCTTGCGTGAATCAACAACGAGGGGAACGAGTGCAACGAGTTATGGTGCCTAGGGGATGTGGAACCGGCGGCCGATATGACTCACCCGGTCGCCAACATTAGTTTATGTAATAGTTTTTTTAATTAATGATAATATTATTTATTTTTCGTAAAAAAAATTACAAAATACAGTCTCTAGATGAATTGACGACAGCGTATTAAGTATTACACTAAGGCACCAATTGAATTGGAGACTGCATGGGGTGTCTCTAATTCAATTGGCGACACCCTTATGGCCTTAACAAATGATCGTCAATTGGAATGACACACGGGGTACTTTGGGAGTTTTTTTGAAAACTGAGGTATTTTAAAAAATTTTTTAAAAACGTGGTTATTTGGATAAAAAAATTCAAAAACTAACTTTTTTTTTAATAATAATTTTAACTTTTATTTTTCAAAATAAACTAAATATTAATCTATTATTAATAGTAACGGTGGTGGTTGATGGCTGACCATATGAATAATATTTTGATATTTTCAAAATAATAACTTTTTTACATGAACAAAATCATTTCTTTTCACTGTGAATAATGCGAGTAATATAAGTTGGTCATAAGTTAAAATTTTGATAATTAGCATAACTTTTGCATCTAACAAAAATATAACCATTTTTATAAGTGTATTTATTTTTTAAAATTATATAAATAGTTTTCTTTTAAATAATGCAGAAGACTAGTTTTTTTAAATATATACAGATCTTTTTTTTTAATAACCAAAAAAAAACATATTCTTGTATTGAAAGAAATAGCTTTTGAAAATAATAATTTTTTCTTTTTAAATGTTCAAAAATAATTACATGAACTAAATGGATATACATTCAATCAAAATACGATAATAGATGAATTGAATTGCAATTTATGTTTATATATTTTAGATTGAATATTTTAGCTAATGATTCAGTGAAATTTATTTATTTATTTTACTCTACTGCAAAAAAAATAAAAATTGAGTCATTTTAGTCCTTCAATTAATGTTTTTTTTTTATTTTTTATTTATTTTTGAAACATTACTATCTTGAAAAGAAAAGAAAAGAAAAGAAAAGAAAAGAAATGTTTGTGATAAAGAGAGAAATTCTAGAAATTTTTAGCTTCCTTCAGCATGGAGAAATTTAAACCCTGTTCCATCGGATCTTTCCCTCCACCACCACCACTATGTTTGAAATCTCATGATATTGCCTTTAATCTAAATTAAAATTATTTGTTTCAACCTTGTGGAGCAGGGCAGGGCGGGCCAATTTAGGCGTTCGAACTCAAAATTCAAATTCGCCCTGTTTACAAACGAGTTAGCGGGCTGGTCCGTCAATTTTTTTTTTACAATTTGATTTATTACATAATTTACAATATTGTTAATCATTAACAAAGAGGCCGACAAATTTTAATAATGCATAGTAAAACTTTAACAAACCTTAATGTAAATGTCATATTCTTCATCAATATAAACACACAATGTAACTATAATACCAAAAATTTAAAACAAACACTCTAAAACCCTAAAAATAAAAAATTTATTATCATAATGAGAAACAAACCCCTCTATGCAAAAATTACCTTATAGTTTTAGAACCCGACTCTAATGACAACGAGTAATAGAAAATAGAAAAGAGTGTATTCTCTATGTTTTGCAATAAAGACTTTTTCTACTGAGTAAAAATAAAGAATGAAACATAGACTAATTAATGTCTTCAAAATGAGGTGTTTGTGGTTATGTGAAAAATGAATATTAGGGTTTGAAGAAGGATTGTTTTAAAAGTATGTCTACTACATACCACATTAATATTGTTTTAACTCTAAATAAAAAATAATAATTTTTTTAAACAAAAGTCCGTGGGAAAAATCCATCCTGCCCGCTCTCGGCCCGTTTTTAAAGTGGGTTAGGAGGGGAGGGCCAACTTAAGACATCGAACTGAAAACCTCGTCCCGTCCCATAAAAAATAGTGGGTTAAATGGGCGGGTCCGACGGACCCAACCCGTTTTGCCACCCCTATCTATGACTCATACGATTTTTTTTACATAAAACCTTAATAACATATGTGATATTCCTTTTAGTTAGCTTCATCAAGCATGCACGAAAGTAGATATAATTGCTATCATAATCCTAAAAGATGAATACCTTCTTGGTATTAATGGATTCAAGCACAACCTCCATGATTACATCATCTGATCCAAAGGTGTAACACCTTTGAAGATTGGTGTCTTGCGAGTCAAGTTATCTCTAATTTGAAGATTCTTAGGTAAGGCGACAATATCATTTTTAGGCAAATGTTGCTATAAATTTGCATTATATTATCTCGAAGATGTTAAGATTGTTAGATCCATAAAATCATAGAAGATTAACCCTAATTTTTTTTAAAAAAATGTTTTCTTGGTGTCAAGATTTTAACCATTGTGTGAACAAAAATTTTCTGCGCACTTTTGGGTTAGGATTTATGGCTTCTCACACGAATAATGGCACTCAAAAATTCATTTTACAATTGCAAGCAATGTAGGTACTCCCATATGATGAAAATATACACATTAATGGAACACAAGGATAACTAATATGTTTGTGTTTAAGTCATCCATGTGAGGTATATGAATGAAACTTTGACTAAGATCAAAGTGCATAAGATAATAATTTCTTACTAGTTCGTGTATCAGACAAATAGTACAACCCTACATATTCCTTAGAAACCTCAAATATATTCCCTGTTGCACGATCTGAAAAAACATAGTGAATTTTAGAAAAAAAAGTTATTGCACAATTTTGGTCTTAAGTAAGCTTATGAAAAGAAATTAAGCTATTAGAGAGAGGAAACATAAAAAACATCTAGCAATTTAGAATAAGGTTAAAGATCAATATTTCCGTAGGCAAGAACCATCGACAACAATAATGTAATGAATGTTGAAAACAAATGTATACTAAGAAAATACTTATGATCAAAACATCATGAGAATGGTGGCTCCAGAGTCAAGAATCTAAACATTTTTTGGCATAACACTAAAGGCAGTAAGATGTAAGGCAAAAAAATATTATCAATCATTCCCACGCGACTAATGCTTGAAATAATCTCACCAACTTCTGGCATTTGAAAAGAATAGAGCATCAGAAAAAAGACAACAACACAAATTGCTACCAGAAGAAAATTGAAATCCTAACGTCCGAAATACTTACAAAACAAAGAATCTTGGATATAAACTTTGATCATTTCAATGAAACAATGAAGTGCTGGCGATGAAATTGGTGACGTATGGAAGATATCAAAGCTTAGAAAGGCAACACATGTACGGTTGAACAATGATAATTATTTTAAGTTCCAACTTGAAAATTGGTGGCAGTCATGATGGTAGGGGTGGTGAGATTTTACACATTATGGAATATTAAAATCTGGTTGGAACAGTGTTTGATAGAGAAAAGGGAATGAAAACTAGGGGTGGCAAAATTGATGGATTGGATTGTTAATGGATGGATCAAAGCAATCCATTAATCCATTAACAATCCACTAAACTCTCTTAATAAAAATTCAATCAAATCCATCTATTAAAAGATAAAATCCATTCAATCCATCCATTAACATATTTCTAATTGATGGATATCCATCCATCCAAAAAATTAATTTAAAAATTCTTAATTTAATAAATGACAACATAATATCCAATGGATTTATAAAATGAGATGGATGGATTGAATCCATCCATATGAGTTAGTGGATGGATTGGATCAAATTCATTAAATTATTTTTTATCTTATGGATGGATTGGATGGATAAATTATTGGATGGATATTATCTAAATGGATTTCACTGCCACCTCTAATGAAAACCTCTCATCAAGTGATTGTGAGATTAAACCCTAAGGACTTTGAGATTTAATTCGTCATTTGTGAATTTTTTTTCCCAATATCCATCAAGGGATTTGTTAAGTGAGTGAATCTCTTTTGCAAATTAAAAATTGATTCACTGGGATGCATTCTAAATATTTCATATTCTTGTGATAAAGTGTTTACTTTAGACCTTTTTACCTTTATTGTGCCTTCGTGAGTTACTTCTAAAGTATCCCAAATCTCTTTTACTGTTTTACAATGAGATAGACGAAAGAATTCATCCATACCCAGAATTGATTGAAGAATGTTCTTTTACTTTTTGTCTAATAGCACTTTCTTCTTGTCATTTTTATTCAAAGAGCATTTGACTTTTAGTTGTTCTACATTATTGATGACCATCTTAGGAAATTATGAACTTTTTCAACAGTATTTCATATTTCTTCTCCTTGTGCTTCTAGATACGCTTGTATGCAAATCTTCCAAAAATTATAGTATTTGCCAATGAAACACAGAGGTGTCAATGAAACACAGAGGTTTGTTATTACTGCCACTCTTTCTAAAAACGGAATTGGCGGAAGCCATAATTTCCATATCGAGGAGTTACCTCAACTTGCTCTAAAGCCAACTATAAGTATAGACTGCAACCTAAGAGGGGGGGGGGGGGGGGGCGAATTGGGTTTTAAGACTTTTTCTCATTTTTAGACGATGTTATGGATCTTTTTATTTTTTCAGAAAAGTTATAATGAATGGATGAACAATAAAGCAGGAAAAATAAAGTGCACTAAGTAAATTTACACAATATATATCTTGATTCCTCTTTCCAAACAAGAGTACTCCAGTCCCCTCACACCCCAAGAGAGATTTCACTATTATATTTTTTTACAAGCCTTGCACCATGATATCTCTTACAATCTTTTAACAAAAACCAACACAAGAAAGCAACACCACTTTCTTTTACAACAAACATCAAAACTATGGTGAACATTGAATCTCCCCGAATCAAAGAACCTTTTATAACAATCACCAACAACTTGTGATGATCACACCAAACAACAATGGTGAACAAACATTACAAATTTGTATAAAATTTTGAGTAATATTTGATTTGGCTTGAATTCCAAGATAATTAATTTGATATTCTATTTCTCTTCTCTTAATCACAATTCAATATATATATATATATATATATATATATATATATATATATATATATATATATATATATATATATATATATATATATATATATATATATATATATATAT